ATCTCTACCAACGATCTTTTGAAGATGGTTGATAAACGACCAAAAATGCATATTTTTGGTGTACTTTCATCTCATAACTTGTGTGGGTACAATAGGTTACATGAGTTTTTGTCACGACCCGTAATCCCCACCAACGGGACCGTGATGATGCCTAATATTTCACTTGCTAGGCAAGCCAACGTTAGAGAATCATTAAACCAATTCCTTATTTCCATTCAGTAAATAACAATAATTAACTAAGATGAAATATAATTAGTGCGGAATATTACAAAATTATATTAATCACTACCACCCGAATCTGGAGTTACAATTCACGAGCATCTTAGAACTTACTACAAGTAATAGTCTGAAAGAAATACAACTGTCTGAATGAAGGAAAACAGTAAGACATAAAGGATTGACGGGGACTTCAAGGTCTATGAACGCCGACAGATCTACCTTGTGTCTCCGGACAGCGGACCAATAGCAAAATCTCGATCAACCTGAGCCGGTATCAAAATCTGCACAGAAAGTGCAGAGTGCAGCATCAGTACAACCGACCCCATGTACTGGTAAGTGTCGAGCCTAACCTCGGCAAAGTAGTGACAAGGCTAGGACAAGACACCCACATATAACCTGAACAATATAATCATGCTAGTGGCAACAACAATAAATAAAGAAATAATGTAGAAATATTGGGAAGGGGACATACAGTGGGGGGAAATACAGTATAAATAGTGAGAATAATGAAAAGACAGAATTAAACTAAAATTCCTTAAACGAATTGAGCAAATAAAACATCAAAGGAAAACTACACGACATCACCCTTCGTGCTTTTACTCTCAACCTCACCAAATAAATAAATAGAACAGCACGGCATCACCCTTCGTGCTTTTACTCTCAACCTCACCAAATAAATAAATAGAACGACACAACATCACCCTTCGTGTATTAAACCTCTCATAATATACACGGCATCACCCTTCGTGCTTTTACACTCTTCCTCACAATATAAATAATGCATGCACGACATCACCTTTCGTGCTTTACACTCCTCCTCACAAATCACAGAATCAATAACAACGGATAGAAAGGAGTATCACAAGGAAACTAGTATTTTACCCATAATCAATAGCACAATGTAACCTCATCTTTGAATCAATATTCGAAAGTTACCAAATCTCAGTGAAACCAGATATAAGTCTCCCAACATTTCAAATAACCCGCTAAGCATGGATAGTAGAATTTAAGGCTACAAAATAGACAAGAATAGAATTTCACTCACATGCTATGACTTGACAATGACGGATAGATGCTCGTCACCTCACCTATACATCGTATTTAACAACCAAACATGTAGCAAATAAACACATAATACCTATTCCATCAAGCCAAAGTTAGACACGACACTTACCTCGCTCCGAAGGACACTTAATTCTCAATCACAGCTTTTTCTTTGGAATTCACCTCCAAACCACTCGTATCTATTAACTCAATAATATCAAATATTGCTAAAGGAATCAACTTTAATGAATAATTACAGATTTCTCAAATTTTTCTCCAAAAAGTCAAAAAATTGACCCCGGGCCCGCTTGGTCAAAACCCGAGGTTCGGACCAAAATCCATTTACCCATTCATCCTCGAGCCCGAATATATAATTAGTTTTGGAATCCAACCTCAAATTGAGGTCTAAATCCCCAAATTTCTGAAATCCTAGTTTCTACCCTAACCACTAATTCTACCATGAAAACTTTAGATTTTAGGTTGATAATTCAAGAAATGAAATGGAAAATTGAAAGAAAATGGTTTAGAATCACTTACCAACACTTTGGGGAAGAAAATGACTCTTGGAAATCGCCTCTACCCGTTTGGTTCTTGAAAAATGTTGAAGAAATGGTTTAAACCCGTATTTTGATTCTGTTTTAAAACACTGGACATGCCTTCATCGCGTTCGCGAGAGGCCTGTCGCGGTCGCGATGCACAACGGCCTAGGACCTTCGCGTTCGCGAGGCTTTCTACGCGTACGCGTAAGGTAGCTCCCCCAAGCCTTCACGTTCACGACCCATTGGATGCGTTCGCGTAGAAGAACATGACCCCCTCCCCCAGGTCCCTTAACCTATCGCGTTCGCGAAGTGTACGACCCCCAATGCTTCGCGTTCGCAAAGAAGAAATTACCTCCCAGCCTAGTTTACACTTCACGATCGTGAGAGTTGCTTCGCGATCGCGAACCACAAAATACCAGTGCACCAGCAACAGCAAAACAACAGAAATTCTAAGTCTGAAACATCCCGTAGCCTATCCGAAACTCACTCGAGCCCTCGGGACTCCAAACCAAACATGCACACAAGTCTAAAAATATCATACGGACCTGCTCGCGTGATCAAAACGCCAAAATAACACCTAGAACTACGAATTTAGCACCAAATCAAATGAAATTCTCAAGAACTCTTTAAAATTTTTATTTTCTCAACTGGGCGTCCGAATCACGTCAAATCAACTCCGTTTCTCACAAAATTTCACAGACAAGTCTTAAATATCATAATGAACCTGTACCGGGCTCCGGAACCAAAATACAGACCCGATACTCACTACGCCAAATATCAATCAATTCTTAAAAATAATTAATTTTTCAGACTTTTAATTTTCATAAAAAAAATTCATAACTCAAGCTAGGAACCTCCGGATTCGATTCCGGGCATACGCCCAGGTCCCATAATTCGATAAGGACCCACAGGGACCGTCAAAATACGGACCCGGGCCTGTTTACCAAAATTGTTGACCGAAGTCAACTAAAGTCAACTTTTAAGGTAAAAAGTTCTTATTTTCATTAGTTTTCAACATAAAAGCTTTCCGGAAACATGCCCGGACTGTGCACGAAAATCAAGGAGGGTAAAAATGAGATTTTTAGGGCTTAAAAGCGCAAAATCGAGTTCTAAAACATAACATGACCTTTTGGGTCATCACAGTTTTTGTAGTGAATTATGCTCATTACATGCATTCTTATGTGTAGGAGCAAGTTGGACAAAATGTGAGCAAACGAAGTTGATTCGGGACCATAAGACAAAAGAAGGACTTTGCTCGTTCACTCTCGTGTGCACACGAGAGAGTGAACAAGCTAGCTGAGGAAAAGCTTGAGAAAAATAGCAGATTATGACAAAAAGGCATGGAAGTTCATGAGAGACCTAGAAGGAAAAGAAAAAGAGAAGAACTTCGCTCGTTCACTCTCGCGTGCGCATGAGAGAGTGAACGAGCTAACCTAAAAAGGTTGTTTCGATGTAGGCTTGTATTATTTCGCCCCGTGCTAACCCTATCTCATATAAGTAGTCTTTAAACTCACTTTTGAGGAGAGACATTTTTCAGAGTAATTTTTGACAAAGGAAGAGCACAGAGCCGCCGTGGAGGCCGGGTTTCATATTTTATTCCACCAAACCTAATAATTTTTATGTTTCTTTGTATGAATTGTTGTTTGGCTACAATATCTATGTGGAGCTAAACTTCACATTCTAGGGTTGTGGTTCTTTCATGATTATTGTTATTCGGATATTGATTTTGCTTTCTTGATTTATCATACTGGTTTATTTATTCAATCTTGCGTTTAATTATTTAATTGCTTGATCATCAATTGAATACTATCTACGAATCTAGAATTAAACTCAAATTCTAGATTGTAGATAAGATTGAATAGAGCAAGTTCTTGAACCTGGGCATCGGGGAACAGATTCACGATTAGGATAGACATATACCTAATTGCCTTGCATGGTTGATTTACAAGAATTATAAATGTATTCTTATTAGTTCTAATTCCATAGACATATAAGCGTTAGGTTAGGTTGAATAGGCGAGTAAGAACTCGACAGATTCTTATGAGAAATATTAACCCTATTAACTAATAAATTAGATAAATTAGTTAGTCAAATCAATTGAAGAATATAATAGGAATGTTAGATAATCCATAACCCTAGATCGTTTTCATCACATTGATAACATAAAAATCTGCTCTTCCTCTGTTTAAAGTTCATTAGTTATTTTATTTTTAGTTTAATTACTTTAGCATCACTACTTTTGGATTTAATCCTTGTTTAAGTAATTATGATAGTCTAATTTAGTTAATAGTTAATCACAAATCCTCGTGGGTTCGACATCCGACTTTTAGTCACTTTATTACTTGACGACCGCATATACTTGCGTGTGCATTTGGCCGCAACAATAGTGCACAAGATGGGAATGTGAAGGCTCAAAGATGTGAATTGATTGTCTCATCAGGGGGAGTTAATACACGACGTACTCTTTTTTCCTTACAAGATTTCGTCCCACTGGGTTTTTCTTGCAACGTTTTTTAACGGGGAAACTAAAAGACGTATTGTTAGATGCGTGTACTCTTTTTCCTTCACTAGAATTTGTTTCCACTGGGTTTTATTTTAGTTGAGATTTTAATGAGGCACATTATATGTTAAATAGACATACAAGGGGGGTGTTACAAATTGTATTTTATTTATAGTGAATGTCTATCTTTCAGAGAGATTTGAGAGTTTGTTACTTTGTGACTAGGTCACTATTCCTCTATAAATAGAAGGTAACTATTCCGTTGTAATTCATCGTAAATCAATAAGAATTATCTCTCTACTTTTCGCTACAATACTCTTCTTCCTATTTTATTGTTTTATGACACAAAACAAATATTGTTTAGAGATAACAATACATGCAATACAATGGGTAACAACTATCCAAACAATCAGTAAGTGGATCTTTTAACACTAAATATAGGACTTAGGCCAAAGCTAGGCAGAATTGTAGAATTACCACGACAAAGGGCGTGCCAAAAAATAAAAGCAACCAAAAATTAATTTAGACCATATTCATGAGGAATTTAAATCACTTCCAAACATATAAAAGAAGAACAGATCAAAATGAGAAGAAAAAGAAAGTGTAAGGAGGAATGGTTAACTAGAATCAATTAAAGAAACAGAAAGTAAACATCCAAAGTATCCAGTATATACCTTTGGTGTAAACCTATAGAGCGGTTAGGAATTAGGAGAGAACAAAGTTTCCACATATGTTACAACCCTTCTGAAGTAAAGTCGTTTTTCAATCCCAGCAACATTAACTTCTTCGAATTTATGTATTCTTGAATTGTAAACCACGAATTCGGAGTCTTTCCTCAGAAACAACATGTCTCCATCCTTCATAAAGCTCACAGGAATCAACAACGAAGGAACCCAAGTTAATTTAATTGCGAATATCTTACTCCATGAATAGCTTAATCCATTCGTTTTCATATAGTGCCAAACTTCATAATTTTGCATTCGGTCACAATCAGTCAAACTAAGGTTTTCCTCTAGAGCAAACAAATGTGTAGTACTGTCTGTCCAGTCAAATGGATATGGACACAATAATTCCTCCTGAAATTGTTCCTTCTCTAAACAAAAACGTACTATAATAATGTCACTACGACCATTAATTAAATCCTTCCTCGCCAATATATAAACAATCCCATGTGATATAACGACGTCCCCAGCAAATAAATAATTTGGAGGAAACCGACCTATCGATTTCCACGAGTTATCTTTTGTTGAAAATACATGAACCTCCTTGTCATAATCGGAATCAGATTTACGTCCTAGTCTAAATATTTTGTAACCGTCGATAGAAGGAAAGTAGCAAAAATTATAAATACCAGGGAATTGCGGCCTAAGAACTGGACAACGGATTTTTCTTGATTCTCTAATGGCCGGATTCCAAAGAATGATTGTGTCATTAGGGTAAATTAGAAGAAGCATACCATTAGATGAGTGATAAGTTATTCCACATGATCGCCACTCATGATTGGTTGCAATTGGAGGATCAACAAGAGAGACACTGGAATCATGTTGAAGTGGGGGATCCATCGTGTAGTAGTAGAAGCCTTTAGCCAACGTTATTCTAGTAGAAACCATAAAGTACTTTTCACAATTTTTGTCACTTTTGCGAGTTTCATAATGCTGCTTTATGAATTGACCATCTTCAATTAGAGAATGCCATAATTTGCAAACGCTTTTGAACCTTAAAAGTGATTTCACAGAAAGTCTTGTGAGTATATCAATGATGACATCGTGGGGAAAGTAATTAGGCATTATGATATCTAACTGATGTTGGTGTTGAACTATTGTTTGTGCAATCGAACGGCTGTTGCTAGGGTTTTATGGTTTTATCTTTTAATGGAAAGGGGGAGGTGAATTTGAAGTGAAGCAAACTCAGTATTAACGCTTTGTTTCTTTTCTATTTATGCATGCCGCCTATTTTTGCCCTTTCCTGGTGGGAATAGGATTTCACGTTAACCGTGCATTTTTCTTTTATTTTTGTTAATTAAATAGTGTTAAGAAATCTATATCTATATGGAGTATTAAAACGAGAGGAAAAAGTCTTCACACTAAGAGGGTGTTTGGCTAAGCTTATAAGCTGGTCAAACTAATTTATAAGCACTTTTCTTTTTATCTACATGTTTGGTAAACCTCGAGGTTCGGACCAAAATTCATTTACCCATTCATCCCCGAGCCCGAATATATAATTGGTTTTGGAATCCGACCTCAAATTGAGGTCTAAATTTCCAAATTTTCGAAATACTATTTTCTACCCTAACTCATAATTCTACCATGAAAACATTAGATTTTAGGTTGATAATTCAAGAAATGAAATGGGAAATTGAAAGAAAATGGTTTAGAATCACTTACCAATACTTTGGGAAAGAAAATGACTCTTGGAAATCGCCTCTACCCTTTTGGTTCTTGAAAATATTGAAGAAATGGTTTAAACCCGTGTTTGGATTCTGTTTTAAAACACTGGACAGGCCTTCATCGTGTTCGCGAGAGGCCCGTCGCGATCGCGATGCACAACGTTATTCTAGTAGAAACCATAAAGTACTTTATAACACAAAACAAATAATATTTAACACTAAATATATTTAGAGATAACAATACATGCAATACAATGGGTAACAACTATCCAAACAATCAGTAAGTGGATCTTTTAATACTAAATATAGGACTTAGGCCAAAGCTAAGCAGAATTGTAGAATTACCACGACAAAGGGCGTGCCAAAAAATAAAAGCAACCAAAAATTAATTTAGACTATATTCATGAGGAATTGAAATCACTTCCAAACATATAAAAGAAGAACAGATCAAAATGAGAAGAAAAAGAAAGTGTAAGGAGTAATGGTTAACTAGAATCAATTAAAGAAACAGAAAGTAAACATCCAAAGTATTCAGTATATACCTTTGGTGTAAACCTATAGAGCGGTTAGGCATTAGGAGAGAAAACGTTTCCGCATATGTTACAACCCTTCTGAAGTAAAGTCGTTTTTCAATCCCAGCAACATTAACTTCTTCGAATTTATGTATTCTTGAATTGTAAACCACGAATTCGGAGTCTTTCCTCAGAAACAACATGTCTCCGTCCTTCATAAATGTAACGACATGCCCGGTCGTTTTGAATATTATAACCTTATTTCCCAATTTAATGCTCAATTTATGCCTTTCTAATTATTTATGACTTATTGGGTTAGTTGGTTCCGGTTCGGAAGGGAATTCGGAATGAAATGAGACACTTAGTCTCATAATTAAAAATTTAAGTTAGAAAAGTGGACCGGATATGGACCTTTGTGTAAACGACCTCGGATTTAAATTTTGATGATTCCAATAGTTCCGTATGGTAATTTTGGACTTAGGAGCGTGTCTGAAAAATTAATTGGAGTTCCGTAGTGGAATTAGGCTTGAAATGCCGAAAGTTGAATTTTTGGGAAGTTTGACCGGGGGGTTGACTTTTTGATATCGGGGTCGGAATCTGATTCTGAAAATTGAAATACCTCTGTTATGTCATTTATGACTTGTGTGCAAAAATTGAGGTCAATCGAACGTGATTTGATAGGTTCCGGAGTCGTTTGTAGAAATTAGAAATTTTAAAGTTCATTAGGCTTCAATTGGGAATTTCAAGCCCGGGATTGGGCGATTTTGAGCAAGGTTTTTCACGGGAAAACTTGAGGTAAGTCCCTTGTGATCATTTCTACTCCATAATATTGAATTATCATCTAATAATCCGACTTGATTACATGTTTTTGAGGTGTAAATTGGGGGTTGGAACTTAGGGATTTGAAAATACAATTTGAAGTTTTGAGGGTCGAGTTGAGGTCGGATTTTGGTAAAATTTGTATGGTTAGACTCGTGGTTGAATAGGCTTTCGGATTTTGTAAATTTTTCCGGGTTCCGAGACGTGGGCCCCACGGATAATTTTTGAGCTAAATTTCGGATTTTTATGAAAAATTAGTATTTTCTTATGGAATTAATTTCAATAAATTTTATCGACTGAAACAAATTATTTGTGACTAGATTCGAGGCATTCGGAGGCCGATTTGCGAGGCAAAGGCATAGCAGAGTAAAGAGTTTCACGTTTTGAGGTAAGTAACAGTTTTAAATCGGGTCCTGAGGGTATTAAACCCCGAATTTTGGTATCATGTGATTATTTTGGAAGTGACGCACATGCTAGGTAACGGGCGTGTGGGCGTGCACCGAGGGAATAGTGACTTGTCCATTCTGGGAAACTGTAAAGTTGAATAATTTGCTGTTAGCTATATGCTCTCTATGTGTTGATAAAATTTGACTTTAAATCATGTTAGAAATCATGCTTAGGCTATGTGATAGTACTGTTGGGACCTACAGAGGTCGTGTACTTGTTGAATTGCCTGTTAAATGCTATATGTACTCAGTCTCAGCTTTTACTTGCACATTTTTATCTCAGTCTCTTTTATTATTATTGATACATCATATCATTGTTGTTTGGGCTGATTTCATGATTATTAAGAGCCCTAGAGACTGGAGAGCTTTATGACTGAGTGAGGCCGAGGGCCTGATTATGAGATATTATACTATAGCACGTGAGTTGGCCGTGCAGATCCTTTTATTATACTATAGCACATGAGTTGACCGTGCAGATCCTTTTATTATACTATAGCACGTGAGTTGGCCGTGCAGATCCTTGTATTATACTATAGCACGTGAGTTGGCCGTGCGGATCCTTATATTATACTATAGCACGTGAGTTGGCCGTGCGGATCCAGCTATTTATATTATGGCACGTGAGTTGTCCGTGCAGATTATAGCGTTTGGGATGTAGGAGCCCCTCCGGAGTCTGTACACCCCCAGTGAGCGCGGGTACCCATTGAGAGTGAGTGATGAGGGCTGGGAGCCCAGGGAGTGATGAGGGCTGGGAGCCCAGTGAGTGATTGTTGTCCTTAGAGGTTGTATTTGATTTCCATTTGCTGTTGCACTTAGTTGCTATCTATCATTGTTGTGAAATCTCTGAAAGATTTTTATATACGGATTACATGAACAGGAACTGTATAAACTGCCATATTTGATATCATGTCTATTCTTTGCTGGAATTACTAAAAATAAACCATAACTGTGTAGTTCGTTACTATCTTCAGTTCCTTATTTATTATTGTCACTTGCTGAGTTGGTTGTACTCATACTACACCCTGCACTTCGTGTGCAGATCCAGCTGTTCCTGTACATAGCGGGTGTTGATCCTTTCGCGTGGTTGATTTTTCGGAGACTTTGAGGCAGTTGTCGTGTTTCGCAGACCTTCCCTCTCCTTCCCCATCTCCTTATTTACTATATTTGGTCTCAGACTGTTACGGACCATATTTTGTTTTTAGACTTGTATTCATAATTAGATGATCATATACTCAATGACACCGGGTTTTGGGAGTGGTTGTATCGGTAATTGTAAGATTTGTGGATTTTATTGAAATATTATATTTTCAAACTTAAGAGAAATTCTGGTTTATTGAGATTTTTGGCTTGCCTAGTATTGAGATAGGCACCATCACGACAGGTGAGATTTTGGGTCGTGACAAGTCGGTATCAGAGCCTGGGTTACATAGGTCTCACGAGTCATGAGTAGGTTTAGTAGAGTCTTGCGGATCTNGGAGACTTTGGCCCAGATATTGGCAGCATGCACTGGTCTTGCTCAGGTGGTTTCGGCTCAGGCCACACCTGCCACTTCTCAGGCTAGGGGAGGTACTCATACCCTCGTTGCCCGTACTCCAGACCGGGTAGTACAGGGACTTCAGATATCGGGTCGTCCAGCTCATCGTGGTACATCAGCTAGCCATGGTTCTTATAGCGCTCACTTAGGCCAGTCTTTATTCAGTGCACTACCAGCACAGAGTTCTCATCATGCCTCGTCTGCACAGGCTTCTGCAGGTCATTCCTCGGGTTATCAGGAGAAATATTTCCGTTATAGGAGGGGTTGTTTCGAGTGCGGAGAATTTGGTCATTTCAAGAGAGAGTGTTCTAGGCTGTTGAGTGGGGTTTCACAGCAGAGTTCTCGACCGACGGCACTAGCACCAGCAGTTACACCACCCGCCCTGCCATCTCGGGGTGGGGGTCAAGCAGCTAGGGGTTGCCCAAGAAGGGGAGGCCAATCAGGAGGCGGGCAGGCTCGATTCTATGCTTTTCCTGCCAGGCCAGATGCTGCTGCCTCAGACGCAGTGATCACAGGTATTGTTTCAGTGTGCGACGAGGAGGCTTTTATATTATTTGACCCTGGTTCCACTTATTCATATGTATCATCATATTTTTCTCATTATCTGGATAGGCCCTATGAGTCCTTAGTTTCACCTGTTTGTGTATCTACACCGGTGGGCGATATTATTATTATGGATCGTGTGTATCGGACGTGTGTGGTAACTATTAGGGAACTGGATACTAGAATTGATCTCTTATTACTCGGTATGGTTTATTTCGATGTAATCCTGGGTATGGATTGGTTGTCTCCATGTCATGCTATTCTGGACTATCACGCAAAAATCATGATGTTGACGATGCCGGGGTTGCCAAAGGTTGTATGG